CTGTCTTCCCAAACTTTTCCCCTCTTCCCAAACCTTTTCCTTCTTCCTACACTTTTCCCCTCTTCCCAAACCTTTCCCCTCTTCCCAGACTTTTCCCAACTTTTCCCTCCTCCCAAACCTTTCCTGTCTTCCCAAACCTTTTCCTTCTTCCCAAACCTCTCCTGTCTTCCCAAATCTTTCCAGCCTTCCTACACTTTTCCCCCTTCCCAAACCTTCCCCGTCTGTCTTCCCAAACTTTTCCCGTCTTCCCAAACTTTTCCCAACTTTTCCCATATTCCCAAACCTTTCCTGTCTTCCCAAACTCTTCCCAACCTTTTCCCCTCTCCCCAAACTTTTCCTCTCTTCCCACACCTTCCCCCTCTTCCCAAACTTTCCCCTCTTCCCACACTTTCCCCTCTTCCCAAACTTTCCCTCTCTTTCCAAACCTTTTCCTTCTTCCCAAACCTTTCCTGTCTTCCCAAACCTTTCCCTCCTCTCAAACCTTTCCCATCTTCCCCAACTTTTCCCAACTTTCCCTCTCTTCCTAAACCTTTCCCCTCTTCCCATCCTTTTCCCTCTCTTCCCAAACTTTCCCATCTTCCCAAACTTTCCCCCTCTTCCCAAACTTTTCCGCTCCCTGCAGCAGAAGACTCCTCCTCCTCCTCCTCCTCCTCCTCCTGCTGCTGCTCCTCCCTCTCGGAGCCGGGAATCTCCCTGTGGCCGCCCCCGGAAGCAGCCGGGACCCTCCTCCGTAAGTTTTCCAAGGGAAACGGGACCGGATCCCGTCGGGATGAGGGTCCATCCCATTCCCTAGGGATGGATCCGCCTCTCCTGCCTCCCTCCTGACTCCTGGATAATCCTGGAGCTCAGATCCCGGGATTTGAGATCTCCCGATTCCCCGGCCGGAATTCCCGAGGCTGGAAAAGGTGGAATTTCTGGAGAAGGGTCTCCCTGGAGACCTTCCCGCTTCAGGAATGTCCTGGAAGTGTCCAGGACCAGGTTGGAAAAACTGGGATAGTGGAATTTTTCCAGGAGCTCAGATCCCGGGATTTCAGGTCTCCCGGTTCCACGGCCGGAATTCCCGAGGCTGGAAAAGGTGGAATTTCTGGAGAAGGGTCTCCCTGGAGACCTTCCCGCTCCAGGAATGTCCCAACCCCATCCCTGGAAGTGTCCAAGGCCAGGTTGGAAAAACTGGGATAGTGGAATTTTTCCAGGAGCTCAGATCCCGGGATTTCAGGTCTCCCGATTCCACGGCCGGAATTCCCGAGGCTGGAAAAGGTGGAATTTCTGGGGAAGGGTCTCCCTGGAGACCTTAATGCTCCAGGAATTTCTTGACCCCATCCCTGGAAGTGTCCAGGGCCAGGTTGGAAAAACTGGGATAGTGGAATTTTTCCGGGAGCTCAGATCCCGGGATTTGAGATCTCCCGATTCCCCGGCCGTAATTCCCGAGGCTGGAAAAGGTGGAATTTCTGGAGAAGGGTCTCCCTGGAGACCTTAATGCTCCAGGAGTCTCCCAGCTCCCTGGAAGTGTCCAAGGCCAGGTTGGAAAACTGGGATGGTGGAATTTTTCCAGGAGCTCAGATCCCGGGATTTGAGTTCTCCAGATTCCACGGCCGGAATTCCCGAGGCTGGAAAAGGTGGAATTTCTGGAGAAGGGTCTCCCTGGAGACCTTAATGCTCCAGGAATCTCCCAGCTCCATCCCTGGAAGTGCCCAGGGCCAGGTTGGAAAAACTGGGATAGTGGAATTTTTCCAGGAGCTCAGATCCCGGGATTTCAGGTCTCCTGATTCCACGGCCGGGGATTCGCGCCAGAATTCCCGAGGCTGGAAAAGGTGGAATTTCTGGAGAAGGGTCTCCC